GCAAAATGTATCTGTGTATGTGGGAGGTTGTTGTAATAACCTTTCATATACATTCTTTGGAGTAATAACTGAGGGGCTGAGGCAGATAGAAGTACTGACTGCTTTCAGTGGGTACAGTTCAGTGAAAGGCATCTGAAGGCCTCTAAACTAACACGTGCACTGATATGGGTCACTAATAAAGATAGTGCTATTAAAAACTGGGTACAAAGTGCTCTGTTACAGTGCCCTTAGAGTATATGCTTAGTCACGGACAAGGGACAAGTGTGCAGTAAATTACTGTACTATACACCACTGAATTAGAGATCTTTTAGCCATAGCTCGGAGCATGGCACATATCGTGTGTAAATGTAAACAAAACAAAACAGTTTAGACAAAGACCATGTTGAAATATTACACAGTTTAGGCTTTAAATTATCAGCTGCAGTGTCTGCACTGTTGTAATGTTAAGACAAAGTCTCCTTCATTATTTCCTCCATCAGTGCGATGGAATTTTGGATTCTGTCACAGAAGGAAATATTCGGCAAAATCAGTTACCTCCAACACCACTACACAGGAAGCCAGACAGAGTGGAGTGGCAAAATTTACTGGAGCACTTGTGGTTTCTGAGCATGTTATCCCTCTGCTTTGCTACTGTCATTTCTTTGTGGTGGCTGGCTGGCTGGATACAGGGTAGATGTACTGAGTTTTCTTGGTAGCTGACACAGCTGGCACTGGAGCTGAGAAACCCATTTCCTATTGAGACTAAAGAATGTATAAATATAACTCCAGCTCAGCAACTCAAGATGTCAGTGGGTCCTTTCATTATCCCTGCTCTTGATTGCAGCAAAGGGAGAAGAATAATGGACTAACCTCTGCTGCTAATCGTTTTTTTTATAGGGTCCTATAGAAGAATATCTCTCTTTAGGGAAGATTAAATGTTCTATTTTAACTGTGCAAATGGCCACATCAACCGAAAAACTCACTATGCAACAAGCAAATTGTTAAATGCGTTTTACTTTTCTTGACTATGTTGATTTTTGTTCCAAGTTGTGTCTTTGATTTGTAACATATCACTTTTTATCTGAGCACTTTATATTAATCATTCAGGCAATAACACGTTAATCCATAGCATAAAATTGCAATCTCCCATTTTCTTTTCCTACACAACAACAATGGATTTTGCTTCATAAAGCGATTTTGGTCTATGTTCTTTATCTTCTGAAGTACATTTGCTGTAAATGTGAATTTAGGAGATCAAGCAAATTTGGCTGCGTTGTTAAGAAGCTTAGTATGTGAGGGCAAAAAAAGGGAGGGTCAAAAAGCCAGAAAAACAGAAGACTTGCTGCCTGTTTCACGGTAACAGAGGTTTAGAGCTGCTCCCACTCCAGAGGCCGCTTCCTAAAGCCTGACTGTTGCACTGCCCTCCAGCTGTTCTGTCCACAAGCCTCAAAGATTATCATTTCATATTTCCTCATGTCTGGCCATATTACTTGTTTTTATATCTGTAGCTTTCATTTGATAATCAGCCACACTGCAGCTCCCTTTGACCGTAGTTGGCACTGCGGCCACTGCGTGCTGCCCCGTGGCCGGGTAAATCACCAGTATTTCAGAAAAAGGACACACAAGCAGACACGGCAACAGAGCACAGGCAGCCAGCGGGAGCAGTTTGTTTAACAAGAGCTCAGAAGCAGCCGGGTGAGTGTGCCAATGCTGCGTTTTGTATGGCTGACTATTCATTATGAACAGGAAGTTTTGTGAAAACTGATCATGATCACAGCTTGCGTGTTCGCTGGAATTTGAGTGCTTTTCTGTCTCTCTTGACTTGAGGCACTTCTTTTCTTGCTTTCTGCGTCTGCCAAAAAGATGACTGTTGGAACGGAAACATACTGACAATGACCATGATATTCAGAGATTTTACTAAAGCATTTGATGTTCTTATGCAATGTAACTCACAGAAGCAGCTGACAGTTTGTCACGGTGCCAGTCCAACTTTTTGCCTCAGTGCATCGGCCACAGTTCTGATGTGTCAACAAACTGAATGTGTTTCAGAATCAGGACTTGTTGTATTTGGTGTTGTCAGAGACAGACAGACAGACAGACAGACAGCTGTTTATCATGTGTTCAGATATTGCTGATTTGGCAAATAGTCACCGTTTGAGCACAGCGCTAATCTGGCAGCTGTGGTTTAGGAAGTAGTGTGGGCCATCTTCTCACTGCACGGTCAGTGGTTCAATTCAGTGTCCTTTAGCCACTGAAGGCACTGAACCCCAAGCTGCTCACACCGATGGCTGTCCCGCCGGAGTGAGTGTGGATGGGTTAATAATAAGCACTTTGACTGTGCTTCAGTGAATAATAAGCCCTATACAAGTGTAAGTCCATTTACCATTTAATGGATAAAAAAGAAGGAGCTAAATTGTCAAAGCTGCTGACTTATGTGAGCAATTTCTACCGTTCCCGTAATTGTATTCACTGCCAAAACAGTCATGCCCTCTTCTTTTCTAGGTCAGTAGGTAACTTTAACTATGAATCATTCCTGGTTGCATTTATATGTTAATTTCTTTTTTGGTAATTCTGACTCCTCATAAACAAAAGACAGACATGGCTTTGAACTAAAGAGCACAAGTGGTGATTGGTGTTGTTCTTAATCTTTTCAGGTCTACTCCTCAGCTGCACAGCACAGAGAAGGCTCTGTCAAGTGCAACAAAGACGTGGTCATGCAATCAACTTAAACAAAGATGTCATTCCTTCTGTTACTGAAAGCAATATGAGCGGATAACCTTTTATTTACACCATTCAGTCACTCTCTTTCTCTGCCTCTGCAGCTGTTACCACAACATCAGGGTGTAATGCATATATTTTTCACCATGACTGGGATGAAGAGTGGACTAAAAAAGAGAAGATTGGAATAATTCTTCTATACACATACAAATAAGGGGTGGGAGAGTAGCAAAAGCTCTGTAGGGCAAAAAGGCTGTGGTGCTTGAGCAAAAAGCTGGCTCAGCAGGAGGCTGATTATACCACCAAAGGGATCCACTTTGCACATCTAGCATGTACAAACTCAAACAAAGGAGCATGGCAGAGCGTAGGCAAGTGGAAGTGAGGGTGTGGGTCCGGCCCTCATTGCTTTTTTTTAGAGGCAATAGCACTTTTATAACCATGCTAATAAACTGCTTCTGGGACAGAGCACATCCCACACCTCCGCCTGCACACACGCCAAGAACAGCTTGACTGGGTCTTAGGACCACTGTTTATGGACACATGGATCAATACTCTCCCTAAGGGTCTATATTTAAGTCTGAGCTGAGTAGTGTACCCGTTGGTCACAGGGGGAGGGGAGGGACCCCGAGATGGCCATTACCAGATTTGGACAAAGGTCTATGAAAGGGCAGACATAGTTCAGAAGGAATCCCAAATTGGCTCTGCAAATCAAACCTACCTTGGACACGGTTGCTGTAGTAGCCTGAGTGTGTAGTAGCTCAACATATAACACTCATATCCTCAACTGCAAAGTGCTTGTTAATTCAAGGCGCAGTCGCTGATTATTCCAGCCACATATTTCACCCTTGATTCTCTGTGCTGTCACTGCTGGAAATGCAAATCTGGAGCGTGACAAATGATGTAGGGCCGTCTCTGACACGCTCAAGCCCCCGGCGTCCTGATGTCACTCCTACCGTACCCCCTCCAACTTCTCAGTAATTACCCTTGTTGGATCGCTACTCCTAATCATACTTGATTTTGGGATGCGCTGCCATTGTCTCCACTTGTTAGCCCCTCACACTGCTTGGTTCTGATAGAGAATGCTGATAACACAGGGAATGAGGCACACACGCTGTATATTCTGCTGGCTGGTGTTTTTACGAGGGAGCTATATACAGCTCTAATGCGGCAGCTGATTAATTTAAATATGATTATTATGGCACCAGTGATTAATCCCTCTATGATCTGATCATGTAAACAGGAGATGAATAGAATAAAAAGATTAAAAACAACAGTAATGGTTAGAAAAGAATAATTAAAAGATTCAGATTCTGTAAAACAGGGCCCTTAAAGAGCAGGGAGCAAGGGAAGCAGTGTGTGGAAGTGGTTCCCAATTTGTTCTCACTTTGTTCCAGTAATAAGATCCAGGCCTTCCTTTCCAATGAACAAGATAATTAACACCTGGGGACAGACTGCACAGAGCTCTGTCTCTGGGTTTATGGCACATGGAGAGAGATCTCTACAGCCCAGACTGAGCATAGTTGCATAAATTGCAGACTTTGCTTGATGTATGTTTTTACAGATAGATGCAGAAAGAGCAAGATGGATAGGCCTATGGGCTGATGGCTTATAGTCAGAGTGAAAAATGAGACAGAGGGGGTGAATGGAGAAATAAAATGTTTTAGTGAAAAGGAATTTCAGATGTGTGCTAATATTTTAGTATATCATTTATTATCGTGTTTTGGTTTTTGTCATTCTGTTGTTATATTTTTGGAGCTTGAATTCATGTTGCCTTTTTTTTTTATAGGTGAACATGGAAAGAGCAAAATTAAGCCTTTTTCATGATAATGTGCTAATTTAAATTAGATATGTTGTTAATAAAATTGTGTCCAAGCTTCAACATCCAGGCTTGAATAAGATTAAATACATTCAACTGACTTTAGTGCAGTGAGTCCAGTGCTTTATGTCAGTCAGTGGATGTTCTGTTCTTAGAAACTCAGCAGTAGTATGAGTCAGGTTGGGCTCATTTCCGTCACTGTAACCTGCCTCTCTTTTCCTGCATTGTCCTGCCCTGTCCAGAAACTCCTTTGGAATGTTCATCATAATAATTTCCGCCAATTGTGTCTTGAAAGCCTTACTCGCCTTCTCCACAGCTCATCAGCTTACTGAAGTAGAACTTTGACCTTTTCAGGCACTAACATCTCTAAACTTTTCCATTTTGTCATATGTGTTTCCTTTTTATGGGATATGTGAGTCATACTTTGATGTTTAACAGTCATACTTTGATGTTTAACAGTTTTTTTTTCTCTTGTTTCCCTTTCCAGAAACATGTGAAGACCCTTGCAACACTTTGACCTGCAAGTTAGCCTTCAACAATAAAAAGGCAAAGATCCCCTCCCTTCTTCCCTTCATCCCTTCTCTCTGCTTCCGCTGCAGTTTCCTTGCAGGCCCGTTAAAAATGGAGGGCCGGTGGGCTACACACAGGACTTTATCACCTGACCCTAAAGTGGGAGCTGTAGCCGTTCTACTAGGTTTCTGGCTCTTAGCCATCCCTGCCATGTGCAGTGGACAGACCTTCACTAGTTTCCACCCTGAACGTCGGGATTGGGTCTTTAACCATCTGACGGTTCACCAAAACACAGGGTCATTGTATATTGGAGCAGTCAACCGTGTGTACAAGCTATCAGGCAATCTGACTCTCCTTGTTTCCCATGACACCGGCCCAGAGGATGACAACAAGGCCTGCTACCCCCCTCTGATTGTCCAGCCCTGTTCTGAGCCCCTTGTCTCTACCAACAATGTCAACAAGCTTCTCCTTATTGATTATTCCCAAAATCGGTTGCTGGCCTGTGGTAGTCTCTACCAGGGTGTCTGTAAGCTCCTCAGATTAGATGACCTCTTTATCCTAGTGGAGCCCTCCCATAAGAAAGAGCACTACCTCTCCAGTGTCAACCAGACTGGGACCATGTATGGGGTCATTGTGCCTTCGCAGGGCCAGGATGGCACCCTATTTATTGGCACAGCAGTCGATGGCAAACAAGACTACTTTCCTACCATCTCTAGTCGAAAGTTGCCACGTGACCCTGAATCTTCCGCTATGCTTGACTATGAGTTGCACACTGACTTTGTGTCATCCCTCATCAAGATACCATCAGACACGCTGGCACTGGTCTCCCACTTTGACATCTACTATGTCTACGGCTTCGCCAGTGGCGGCTTTGTTTACTTCCTGACTGTCCAGCCTGAGACGCCAGAGAACAGCATGGCATCAAGTGGATCTACCAGTGACCTTTTCTACACTTCTCGGATAGTCCGCCTCTGCAAAGACGACCACAAGTTTCACTCATACGTCTCTCTCCCTGTTGGCTGTGTTAAGAATGGCGTTGAGTACCGGCTACTGCAGGCTGCCTACCTCGGCAAGCCGGGCCGCGTTCTTGCTGCCTCACTCAACATAAGCGCCCAAGATGACGTGCTGTTCACCATCTTCTCTAAGGGCCAGAAGCAGTTCCATCGCCCGCCAGATGACTCCGCTCTCTGCGTCTTCACCATTCGAGACATTAATGCACGGATCATGGAGCGCCTGCAGTCCTGCTACCAGGGAGAAGGAAACCTGGAGCTCAACTGGCTGCTTGGAAAGGATGTGCAGTGCACCAAAGCGGTGAGTTACAGTGATCGACGCTGAGTAAAAACACATTCATACATGCACACATAGACAAATTATTTATGTACAATGTGCACTTTGTACTTTTTTATATTATTGAACTTTTTATAATTGAAATGTGTCTTTGCCATGTGGTGAAAACTCATCAGTGGTCCAAAGCTGCACTTATTGGGAATTTAACATCATTATTTAAACAGTTCACTTTTGCATATTGGCACAGTATGTGTCAAGTGGGGTTTTACTGATATGCAGAGGAGCATTGCTCTTCTTTATGTTTTGCAATCTGCCCTCAGTAAATAAAGGGACAAAATAGAGTCTTTAATGTACTGTACTGAATATTTTAATGGTCAGAATTCAGTCCAGCACTTTTACATCTGGTTTTCTTTTCAAAAATAAACTGTAAACACTAAAGGAAATGACCCAAGCTTCTCAATCAGCCCCACACCCACAGTGTTCATAGTTCTGAGAGAGTGTTCTGTAATGAAAACAAACACGGCAATATTCAGGAAAGGCTCTGACTACCTTGCATAGCATGGACTCTCTTATCAAAGGATTCTCACACAACATGTAATTATGCCAAATTGTTTTGCAGCTCTGATATCAGGAAGCAACCACTTTCAAGTATATTTCAGTGAGAGATAATCACAAATTAGGGAGGATTTATTTATTTTTATTTATGTATCTTTTTGGAGCCAGTCAAAGTGATAATATCCTCCTTAAGCACAATACAAATAAACACACTCTTCTTCTAGTGTGAAAAAGTGGGGGGTGTTTCTGCTTCTGATGCTGGCACAGATCACACACCATTCTATTCCTTCTCCATCACCACTTACCCTGTAATACAAGGCCACGTACTGCAGTATCTACTACATGTTGTTAAGTTGAATTAAGATTCTTGACTTTCCCTTGTTCCCAGGAGGCTACAGCCCTCTGTGCTTTCATCCTGTAATTGCTAATAGGGACTTAAGAATGCTAAGAGTCTATGACTAGTCAGTTACAGTGTGCATGCGTATGCTGTAAGTCTGCATGTATGTAGGAAAGGCGTGTGTGTGTGTGTGTGTGTGTGTGTGTGTGGGAAGGAGCTCCAGTCTTGATGAATTTTTGGGGTTTAATGCTATCCCTATCCTCACTGAGCCACTGATCAGCTGCCTTTGCTGCTAATCCCTGCAGGGCGCTCAATTGACCACTCTTATTAAAATCAGTAAATTCCCCATTAGCACAATGTCAGAGTTGACCGTTAGGAGGCGGGAGACATTATCTTGAAGTAGCACTGCTGGGTTGCATTAGCGCCACTGAAAATTCTTGAGAAGGGGATGGAAGGAGATTAGGCAAAAGAAAGAAATGGTGGCATGTAACAATGGCAATGCTGAGCCTGGAAGCCTTTCTAACTGTGGAAGCCAAGAGACACTCCAGTCATCTCAGTCTGCTCTGAAAAATGTTGAGCTGCACCTCCCAGTCCATTCTTTTATCATGCACTGCCAGTAATGTTCCATGTCTTTTGACATTATACACCAAGGATACACAAGCTTTGTGTGCATGATCACAGAGATAAAAAGATGCAAAATGCAATAGTTAAGATCATGTCCTTGTACTCACTGAGTAGCCGAATTATGCTTGTACTGTGGATTTCAATGATTAAAGAACTTCTAAAGCCTATACAAATTTATCAGCCATGCTAACATTGCCTGCTTGCTTTTCATTCCCCACTTCAAGCAGTGTGGCTGCTTTAACGTGCACATATGTTTCACATCTTGTTTTCCTCAAACAAACATGTTCCAGAATTTTTGTGTGTGGTATTTTTAGCGCATCCATGTCTGAGCTCCCTCAAAATATGAGGTTAGACCATCCCGAGAGACTTTTTTTTGTCAACTGTTTACTGTATCTCAGTTGGTTGTGAGTAAATTACACATGCAGTGTCTTTCCTCTGTTTCGTTGTTAACGGCAGGCAGCCAGTGAGCTTAAAGCAGAGAACCATAATTGTACCCCTAGCTCAAATTCCTGTCTTGCAGATATTTCACTGTGTGTGCACATACATTCAGGCCAAGGTTGAGGTTGGGATTGGATCTGAGGCTGAGCTGGGGGATACAGACACAAGTGGGCAGTCAAAGATTTATCGCGCAGCCATCCAGCCTTCTGCCATCTGGAGATTCACACCATCTCTCTAGTCACTCCCATGGAGCAGAGCCATGATGGGAATCTTTCTGTATCAACTGTCTTTGTGTATGTGTGACTGACACTATCATCCTGCTTTTTGCTCCTGTCCCCCCAAATAATTAACCACTCATGGAAAAAAATGGGGGCAGATATCAATAACACTGATAAACCCTGGGAGGGAAACTCTGAGAGCAGATATCCTGTCACATCTTTATTGCAATTCCACACCAAATGGACCACTGTGTCATTGTTTAAACCATGATGCAGTCTTGTGTTGACGCAGGCCAGGGTCCAACTGTTTTCCCAGCACAGATTAAATATTCAACTGTCTTGTGAGTTATTCGATAAGGATTAATCACAGCCTATTTTTAGTCTCTCCACAGTCCTGCTAAAGACAATCAATGTAATTGTATGATGCAGTCTGAGACACTGTAAATCTGCCTTTCTTCACCACTGGTGAGATTCGTGATAAGGCAAGGGGAGAAACATCAATTCTTCTAGAAGGTTAACAAGAAAACACAACCACATAGAATCTATGGGGATTTGACTGCCAAGTCTGCTAAGTATACATCATCTAAACAATCTAGATATAATCAGAACCAAATGGTCTGGAGCCCAGCAGACCATGTGTGGAATAGCTGAATGCATTTGAGTGGGCAGCTATTGATAAGCCAAAGTCTGGAGCTCGTTATTTGCTTGTTTGCTAGTCTGATTTATTTCTGTGTGTCCATGTCTAATTAGCATATGTTTTATACAAACACTGAACAGATATATACAGTCTATTTAATTTTATAAGAGAAAAGAATAATGTCAGCTTAACTGATTTTTTTTTTCTAATGTAAATACTGCGGTGAAATGCCCCCGTAGCAACCTGAGCTATTTTGGTCAAAGGAAATAAAAAGAAAATGCCATGAATTGGGGGCATGGCTGTAAGAGTGGAGGCGATTATTTCCAGTCAGCGTTATTGCTTTTGCTCTGCTCATTAAAATCTGAGTATGTACTGAAATGTTTTACAGCCATGGTGTGTAGTGAACGGACTGTGCTGCTTCCCGGAGTGGAAAACGTCACTCAACATAGTCTGCTTATACTATTGTGACAGGGATGAAGAGTGAGACGGAGGAGAGACGGATGAGAGATGGATATAGTGACAGAAAGAGATTTAATGAACTGGGGTTGGAGAAGGGGCATACTGTATATATTCAGAGGGTGAAAAAGATCTAGTTTGTGAATAAGAGCCTATGCACACAGAAGCCTTGCCTGGCTGTCTCACTTCACGTGGCACTCTGAGGGTACTGCCACTCAAAACCCATCTCAGCTGACCCAATTCAACACGAGAAACACCCCAGTCTCACTCCTCATTAACCTCATCCTCTTTCATGTTGTCCGTCTTGTCTTATATTCCATTCTTACCGTGGAAGGGACCAAGGACACCTGCGTTTTGCTCAGAACTGAAGTCAAACGTAATGAGACTTTATGCTAGTGATTATTTTGTAACAAATGGGTAAATACAGTGTGTATTTCAGGGTTACACAGTTATCATGCAGTGTGTTTGCCGGTGCACATCGTTATCATGCAGAACGTGTCTTTCTGCTGAGGTGTGATGATAGGCTGGGGTAATGAGCCACGGTGAGAGCAAGGTGGAGCTCAGTCAGGCAGAGCCGAAACACGTCTGCCAAGTGGAACAGAAAGGCAAATGTTTCTCTGACTGGAAGACTTACTAACACACCTCCACCTTGCTCTGACCTCCCTCTCTCAGATTCACCCCTCTCACCCCTTCATTTCCATCTCAGACTCTCTGACACTGCCACTGTTTCCAAAACTTTGACCACCATGCTCTCTCCTTCTGTCTCACTCTGTCACCTTCATCTTTCCTCCTTACTGAGTCGTCGTCTTCTATAAAGCTCTCAGCCTCTCTACTCTACTAACGTCTTATTCTCTAAGTCTCTCTCTTGTGGAGATATTTTTGTCACTCCCTTATTTTACATTGCAAGGATTTCTATGTTTAATGTGAGAAATTTCTCTCCTACTCCATGTAACCTTGTGCTCTTTTTTTTGTTTCACTGTTCATTTTATTTGTCTTGTCATTTAGTCATACTTCAATCTGTAACGTTTGTTTGCTTCTCTTCCTTCCTTAGCCGGTGCCCATTGATGACTCTTTCTGTGGTCTGGACATCAACCAGCCACTCGGCGGTTCTCAGCTGGTGACTGGTCATACTCTTTACACAGAGACTCGAGACCGCATGACTTCTGTCACCTCCTACGTCTACAATGGCTACTGTGTAGCCTTTGTGGGCACCAAGAGTGGACGCCTAAAGAAGGTGGGTACCAACTTTCCTCTTCTCACCCAGCAGTTACTGGCTGGTTGTGGGAGATTTCTGCTCACTTCATCAATGTGATAAATAAAGACCCAGGCTGTTTAGTGGCCCATGGGGTACAGACACTGTGAAGTGGTCCTATTTCCATGCAGATGGATCATGGTCACAGGGAAACTTATCTCTTTAATATTTAATACCTGCTGTCAAAGCATCAGTGAGGGGTAATGGCGAAGGCTAGCTCACTGTAGTGGCCATTACCAGTTCCTTGTTAAGTGGGCTCTAGGGTCGCAGTGTTGAATAACCTGTATGGGACGATTAATTTTAATAGAAAAGTTCCTGCCTGTGGCCCACTGAGAGGTAGAAGAGAGAGCAGGCTTATGCTCTGCACCTCACAGTCTTGGTAACAGAACATAGCTGCTGAGGGTTAAAGGGCTGCTGGCCAGTTAATAACCACCCCACACACAGGAAACAAGGTTTTCAGTCAGATTGCTCACTGATAGGATTGAATAATGTGCTAAGTTAATGCTGTATTATTGGCAGAGATGTCGCTGTTTGGCTGATTAATAAAAAGAAAACAGGCAGTGGCATCATCCCAGACAGCTCATACTTTGAGTATATGTTGAAAGTTAAAATGTTGAATGTGTTTGTGTGCGTGCATTGTGTCATGGTAGCTGTTTGTCTGATGGTGCTTTCTGGACTACATTTAGACAGGTGGCTGACAGGGGCATGGCTGTAACCACACTAGCGCTAACATGAGGGAGGAATTACAGTAACCAGGATATTAGAAGGGACCTAGAGAAAAGGTAGAGCAGAACAGAACAACCTAGTAGAGCACTCAACCACAGAGTTGGTCCACAGGATAAAAGAAAACAGGCAGCTTATAATGCCATTGTCACTAACACAACACATGAGCAAATTTCTCATAATGAGTTTTCCCATCATCTGATTTACTGTCATCGTACTTATCATCCTCTCCCTGTGAGGTAGTCTAGGTGAGAAAATGCAGGAAGTTTGTTTTCTAGTATCTTGATTATAATTATATCAGAAAATATAGGTATAATCCTGGCCCCCCCAACATTATGAGGCACTGGAGAAAGCAATCATCAGTGTTGATTATTTCTCTCAGCAAAACTGAAACTAAAGACTGTTTGGATATTTGGACGTTTACTTATGGTTTTTGATTGCTTGTTTTAAACCAAATGATTTGGCAAAGAACTAGCACCACTGTGACAAAATATGCATGCAGATACGCTATTAGACAAGGACCGGTGGTGATTTGTGATGATATAACAAGCACTGACTGTCCACCTAATGTGCTTTAAAGACAGAATGACCACAATCAGCCTACCCACTGTGTTAGTCTCTAACAGTGTGGAAAAAGAAAGCACTTCTCTTACTCTTAGGAAGTTACTGATCAGTAATGCTGCATGACAGCAGTAGTAGGGAGAGCGCTGCTTTGTCCACTGGCAGTGTTAAGGTCTGTGTGCTTTGGTGTGTCTGAAATATGCATATGTTTAGATACATTCATTCCCTTAGGTGTCATGGGGAGGGCAGATGAATAGGGTGACCTGATGAGCCCTGGGTGCTGCAACTCTGCTGAGGGCTTATAAGCTCCCACATTGCTCCTTGTGTGAGACTCCAGATGTGGTAGGGTGCTACTGTACAGGCTTCCATCAGATCTGAGCATGACACAGCTATAGGGTGACACATTTTGATGCTTGGCTGGTGATACAGTTCCATTCCTCCGCTTCTTTCATGCAGTCAAGAGACACAGATAGAAAGAGGAAAGAGAGGGGTGTGGTGTGTGGGGATGCACAGGTTGGGGATGTGACTGTGAGCCATGATAAGGAAAAAATAAAAAAAAAAGAGCAGCAGGAAGAGGCAGCTAGAGAAGTAAAAGGAAGAAGGTAGTCTAAGAAGGAGGATGAGACAGATGAAATGTGAATTTTGTGGCTCCAAAGAAACCAGGGCTGCACCGCTGCCTGTAATTGGATTGGCTCCCTTCCCAAAAATATCCCCCCCATGCCCTTGCCCTCCATCTCCTGCTTCCCCATTCAATCCTGTGCCTCCTTCCATCCCTCCATCGCCCTGCAGACAGGCTCCTGTATATGCTGCTGTTTCCTGGGTTTGGCTGGAGCACGGCGAAGCAGGAGGGATAGTGTTGGAAGGCTTTTTCAGTGGACTGACTGAGAAGGAGACATAACACCGCATTTCTGAGCCTTACACCATCTATTGCGCTCATATGCTGTGATCATGTGCAGAGGGTGTGAAGTGATTACAGTTCACTGTTTGAGGTAGGATCAAACAAATAGATCAGTAATTCATGAAGGTGGGATAGTCTCATTCCCAACCTAGGGTGAAACATGGTACGTCATACAACTGTTACTGTACAGTACATACTGTATGTGCTCAGTGTGTCCCCTGAGTCTCATGATGGTTTCTGAAATTGGTTGTGGACTTCTGGGCAGCACCCGTGGAAGCAGTGATGGACTGTTGAGGGCCATAGATGTTGAGGGGGCAATCAGTATTCTGGGCCTTGATGCACTTTGTCTAACAACAAACCACTTCCAGTCGGGACCAAAACTAGACCTTTAATTCACTCTGAGCTAAAATCAGAAGATTTTCCAGTGAGCTTGTAGTCCTGCTCATACGTTAATGTCCTATTTAAATTCTAGATTTACATTGATATTCACCAGGCTCAATCATCTATGTTATCACTTTTATGTTCCCACAGACCAAAAGTCTGCTACAGGGCTCCATGGGTCAAATTATAGAGAAGGGTGATTTCCTATGCAGTTTATTCTGGAACCACATTACCCAAGAATTACATCACCTAAACTGGAATTGGCTGTGTATGGTTCACTTTGTGCTCGAGCATAGTCATATCCCACGTGGAAACTGAGATTGGTGGGAAGCATGACGGCCTTAAGGAGGAGAGGAGCTGCACCGAGTACTGCCTTTGATATAGATACAGATACAGATACAGGGTACGACTGCACATGTAAAATCGGATGTTTAAAGACATCCCAGCAATAGATGAATGGGGAGTTTAGAGCAAGCTCAGCGGAGGAACAGTCAACATTCCCCTGTTAATAATAATCAATTCACAGACAGCAAGAATGAGGATCCTCCACCCCATGTCTGTCCTACAGGGCAGCAGGGGTTAAGAAACCACATCCCCAGATGTTGAGCAGAGTTTCTCAGTTCAATAAGGATTATTTATTAAATTACACAATATGTCATTGAGTCTTTTTTAAATCAAGTAGCTATTCTTTTAGTAGTTTTTAGCTAGTATTTCAATTTATTCAGACACTACGACATATAGTGGTAGATGATTCTTGTTTGGAAGTGAGGGATTGATCAGTGGTGGCTTGTACTGTATTAGCAGTAAAACATGGATGAAACAAAGTCTTCTGGCCCTTTATCCAATAAGCCTTCAACAGTGACACGCTGCTTTCAGCTTATTAAATTTTCCTCATCACATCCTGGTGGATAATCAGGAGTTGGTTTGGATAATGGCCCTGGCAGCTGGAGGGGACAACTTGAAAAGTTGGTTCAGGTGTTTAACTGGACAAATGTCTGGTTGAGCTGGTTAATGTAGCAGAAGGTGCGTGGCTCATTCGCCTGGTTCTCACACTAGCCTGAGTAGCAGTATGGATGTGTTTTGCTGAGGGTAGCAGCTGATCATAGGGCATAACGTGTCAGTAACTTTAAAGGCTTGGAACTGCAGACAGCTGCTCCTACAGGGCCCTGCTGGAGAAGTGGTCAACCGTCTGTCCTGTGTTCTCTCTATACACCCCGCACTGAGCCTCAGAGTCATTGGATTTGTCGCCCTCACAGGGAATTAGATCTGAGTGCTTTGCCTGCCTTTTGCCAGTCAACCCAGAGGCTGCTCACCTGCTTGACTTGTCTAAGCCCTGTTTTGGTGTGGCCAAACTTTGCCAGGTCTGGGTGGGATGGGATTAGGGTAAAGAGGAGGAAGGAAGAGGAAGAGAGAGGCTGACAGGTAGGAAAAGATAGAGATGGTGAGATTGAATGATAGACAGATAGACAGAGAGTGGGAGAGAGGTTTTAGCACTGAAGATGGTGTTCCTACAACAGCTGAGACCCATAACAATGACTGAATGGAAGCCAAACCTGTTTCCCCAGGGGTGCAAATTACTCTCAGACAAGGAATGAAGGGTCCTTTCAACTGCAATTGCAAAAAAAAAAAAAAAAAAACCAAACAAAAAAACAACTAATCATTTTAATGGCTTTATTAAACATCTCTATTGTTGTTTCACGACTTGCATACTTGCATTAACCTTCAGCTGACATGAAAACAGACAATTAGAAGTGAAAAAAAACTGTCACAATTGCCACCAGGTAGAATTTGTTTCCAATCATCATAATCACAAATGGTTATTTCTCACTGAATGCCTCCTGTAATAACCATTGTATCTGTTTGTTTCAGATTGAATTGGTGTGGTCCAATATATCCCACACAGACCAAATAATTGCATCCCTTTGTTAAACCATAGTCTTTGTTTTGTCTGTCTTGTTTAAAATGAAATGAAAATCAGCCTCCACCTGTTTATGAAGCAGACAACTAACATGTCAAACTCAGCAAAGTGTTATAATGATAAGTGACACGGAGACATGAGCAGTGCTTTAGCTGAAATGTTAGCTGCCAGTATATATTGTTTACAGCCATTTTGAGGACACTCCCTGCTAGATTGTCTGCAGTCTTTAAATCATGTTAAACTAAACAATCCAGCATCGCTTTGCCCGTTGGCAACCTCTGGGAGCCTGGCATGGCCTGCAGAAAATGACTTTACTAGTAGAAGAACATTTTCTCTTCACACACAACTTGCAGCACTTTCTCAAAGAGGCTGAATCAAATGTCCTTCAGTAAAACCAGCACTATCTGGAGGAACTGCAAATAGAGGTCAGTTTTATTTTTTTATACCTGGACCTGTGGATGGCTGCCCACAGGGAGACTGTTAAGCTTCCTTCCAAGCTCT